AGCACCTTGCTGCAGGCACCTGCTGGGATCTCTGCTCCTGGGAGGGGGTCAAAGGCAGGAACAAGGGTCCCTGCACTGGGGGCTACTGTAAGCCCTGTGCCTTCCAACAATGACTGGGTGTATGGCCACGGTGGTGGGAGGGGATGGAACTCTGTGTGAAGACTGGGAAGGAATTCAGTCCCTGCCCAGCCTTTTCCAAATGGAGCCTGAGTTGGGAAGCCCGCAAGACTGTAATAGGCATGGATGGGACTGCTCCATTGCTGGTCTGCTGCCTGTTCTAGGCTGCAAGAGTGGGATGAGCAGCTGGATGTGGTAACCAAAGGAGATGGGCCCTGTCCAAATCAGAGCAAGAGATATCCCAGCAGACCACTTCCCATCCTGCTTACATGAGCTCCTTCTCCTCTCCTCTGTGCAGAGAGATGCCAGCAGCCCCAGTGGGGCTCACAGCTCCAGTTTAGCCCAAACCAGAGATTTTACTGGGTCAGTGAAGAGGTGACACTGAGCTGCTTTGTGAACAACGCTCCTCCCCTCGCTACGATCAGATGTGCAAACTGGAAGAATTGGGAGGTGTTGGACATTTGGGGAACATGGCATAGGTTGGCACAGAATCTGAGCTGCACCAAGGGTAAGTTGGGAAGCAGTAGGTCTCCCTTGCTATGTGCACTTCTCGCTGGACATCATGCTGTATCTGTGAGACACCTTGGGCACAGCTCAGAGTCAGGTCCCAGTCGGGAGCAGTCTCCAAGATGGACAGGGTTAGAAGCCTTCAGTGTGGGACAGGTTTTCTCTATCCCTGCATCTCCCAGTCTATTCCTGAGTTGTGTGTCACGGCACAGGTCCTGCCCCTCAGTTTTCACCTCTATCCCAGTGTCCTGTATCACCTCCTTGCCCAGGCACATGCTTTTTTCTGCTCTTGGGGGTGCTTGGGTTTCCTCATGGTGATGAATGCTGACATTAACCACAGCACATCATGGAAAAGCCTTGGTCCCTCTCCTGCCTGAGCATTCACTCACTGAGAAGGACTCTCACACTTTCTCCCTGACAGCAAAATGCCGAAAACCTCAGTGGGACGCAGGACTTCAGTTTTTGGAGAACAAGAAGGAATACGCACAGAATAGAGAACTGACACTGACCTGTCCTGAAGGCCTTGAGCCCTCCTTCCCCAAGGTCAAATGTACAAAGGAAATTCAGAGAATGAGTCCTGGAAAACCAGCCTATGTGGATGCCTGGTGGGGCAGGAGCAGCACAGGTACCTGGACACGCATTGAGGGGGATGTCCTGTGTATGGGTAAGTGAGGCTGCAGCAGCTCTCCCGTGTCTCCCCTCTGCCCTCACCCTCCCTGGGGCCGTGTTCCCTGTGCAAACTGCTGAAGAGGACAACCCAGCCAGGAGACAACAGACCAGGCAGAACCAGCTGGGCAAGCTGAAATCTCCTGCAGTGGTCCCTGAGCAGGCCAAGTCTGGGGCTCCCAGCCAGGTGCCCAGGCCAGGGGCAGGGTCTGAGGCTGCCACCCAGGTGCCCATGGAAGTTCCGTTCTCTTTGCTGTGCCTCCAGGTGCCACCCTGGAAAGAACAGGTCTGCTTGTTCCCCTGCTGACCCATGGATAAGGGACCTGTGGGGCATCTCCTGCACCTGCAGGGGTTGGAGCAGAGGGGAATGAAAGGAGCTCTGATGATGCAGGGCTGGCTCAGCCCTTGGCACTGGGACAGGAGGCTGTATGGGATGGACCTGGTGGAGGAGCAAGGCCATCCATCATGGAATGGAGGTGCAGAGCTGTTCCTGGCAGAGAGAGAGCTGTGCTCAGTGGGGGCATGGCAGTACATGGCAGTGCTCAGGAGAAATGCACAGGGAGAGATAGGATGGGAATCTCCCTGCTTTGGGCTGTGGGAGGTGTATAGGAGTATCCACAGAGAGAAGTGGGTGGAAAGGGTCAGGTTCATCAATGAGTGATTCTTCATACTTTATAAGCTCATGGAAAAAGTCCTTCCCAACAAGGCTTGCCCTCAGGTCACATCCCAGCAGATGGATGTGTCACCTTCCCTCTCCCTTCATTGCCTGGACGGGTTGCTGGGATTTCTCTCCCACCACTCACCCACAGTCACTTCATCATCTCATCATCTCCAGCCCATCTAACACTCACTTTTACCTCTGCCAGAAATGTGCCAAAGGCCCCAGTGGGACTCCAGACTCCAGCTGGCACCAGACCAGGAGAACTATAAGAAGGATGACAGAGTGATCCTGAGTTGCCCTGAGGGTTTCCAGCCACCCTTCACTGAAATCCAGTGTCAGATTCAATTCCAGTATGATCATGATGAGACACTTGTGTACAAAGAATTTTGGCTTGGAAGAGACTCCAGTGATGCCTGGGTCCCCATTCTCTCCAGTGTGGAGTGCATTGGTAAGGGAGGGATCAGGAGCAGGATAATCCGTTGCAGGGGGATATCCTGAGAACATCTCTGAGGTGGGACAGCATGGGAAGGTCAGGGTTTTCCTTGGGCCCAGCACTGTGAGGATGGAGGCTGTGGAAGCAGCTCCTGCTTCCAGGCTAGGAGGAAATGGCTCCTGTAGTGCTCTCCCATGGCCCCAAAGGATGGCTGCAGCCACACAGCTCAGAGGGTTTGGGGGAGGCAGGATCCCTTTGCTGCTCCCTCTGAGCTGTGAGGTAGTCCAGGGGACACACCCTCCTGGCTTCCCACTGTTCTCCCCAAAATGTCCTGATGTTTGACTGAACAGCAGCGGCCGTGCCACTGGAGAAATTCACCCAATGGTTCACATTCAATTTCCTAGTGCACCATGACCCCACACTCCTCCTGCTCCCCTTGGAGAGGCTGAAGTGATCACCTTCAGTCTCTCCCTTTCCATCCAGCCCAGCTGGGGTGGCAGGGGGACAAAGCTGCTGGTTGTGGTGCTCAGCTGGGCATCTCTGGTCTTCTGCCATCAGGGCTGTTTGAGAGCAAAGCCTCTGCACAAGGGCTTGTCACAGCACTTCCCTCTGTGGCAAACTTGGTCTGCACCTTGGCAGATCCCTTGTGTGCCCCTTTGGAAGAAGGCAGATTGTCTTTTAAACCCCTCCAGGCCTCACAAACCTTCTTGCAGAGGCTTGAACAGACAAGGGCTCCTTCCACAAGCCAGCACCGTTCTCTGCAGGAATCACTGCCACAAAGCCTCCCCTGCAGCACTGGACAAAGTGCTGGGACCAGCTGCTCAGCTACTGCCTACTGAGCTGGAGGGTGGTGAATCTGGGGGGGAGGTGATGAGAAGAGGGAAGGGTTGTGTCAGGAGAAAGGGGCAGGGGCATTGGTAAAGCAGGAGATGGGAATGCAGAAGGCACTGCTCAGCCCCTGTCCCCCTGCCCAGCGGTGTGGGGCAGGAGGAGAGCAGCCCAGGCACCGAGTGAGGGAGAACAGGGAGCCCCCGAGGGTAACAGGGGCATGGCTGATCCCTGTGGGAGGGATGAGCCATGGCTGAAGGGCCCTGCATGCCAGCAGGAGTGGTGCTGCCATGGCCCAGCAAATGCCACCTCAGCTGGCTGGGTGACAGGCCTGGATGACAGGCTGGAGGGAGTGCCCTGGTGCAGGGGTGATTGTCCTGGGAATGTCCCTGCTCTGGCCTTTGGAGGAGGGAATATGGTGCCCATGGACACACTGTGAATGGGGCAGGTTCATGGATGAGTGATCCTTCACAATTTCCATGCATCTGGAAAGCCCCTTCCCAACAAGGCTTGCCCTCAGGTCACATCCCAGCAGATGGATGTGTCACCTTCCCTCTCCCTTCATTGCCTGGACGGGTTGCTGGGGTTTTCTCTCCCACCACTCACCCACAGTCACTTCATCATCTCATCATCTCCAGCCCATCTAACACTCACTTTTACCTCTGCCAGAAATGTGCCAAAGGCCCCAGTGGGACTCCAGACTCCAGCTGGCACCAGACCAGATGAATTATAAGAAGAATGAAGAAGTGATGCTGAGGTGCCCTGAAGGTTTCCAGCCCTCCTTCACCCATGTCAAATGTTCGAGCGAAGTCCAGTCCTTCTCTGGTGGGAAACCTGTATACAGAGAGGTCTGGACTGGAAGAAACTCCCATGGTGCCTGGCTCCGCATTCGGTCCAGCGTGGAGTGCAGTGGTAAGGGAGGGATCAGGAGCCCTGTGGGCTGCCTTCCTGAGCAGGGAAAGTAGGGTGTGGGGCACAGGAGGTTTTGGGCTCCGTGCTGCCCAGGGAAATGGCAGGCGTCAAGTCCAGCCTGCAGGTCACTACTGCGGGTGTTGGTGATAAGGGTCTCCCTGAGGCCTTCTGGCAGGAGGATGTGCACAAAGGAAAAAAGCATGGGAGAGGGATTTGTCTTGGAGTTTGTGGCCAGCACATGGCACTACTGTTGGAGCAGGATAAGAGGGCTTTACTGCTGGTGTGGCTGGGAGTACCACAGCTTGTTCCATGTGGGCTGGGCCCCTCCAGGTTCTGCAGCATGGTGGGTGCAGGGTTAGCACTCTCTTTTCACAGCTTAGGGCATTCATGTTCCCTCCAAGGAAGAAAGGAGTTGTTCCTGATGGACTGTAGAGATTCTGGGAAACACAGACATCTCTGTTTGGAATGAATGGGGAAAATTGCTTGAGCAGTAGTAATACAGTCATTTACCCACATTCCTTCCTGTTCAACTCCTCCTGCTCCCCTTTCAGAGAGCTGCAGCGACCACCTTCAGTCTGACTTTCCCTTCCACCGTGTTGGATGATGATCAAGGTTGTCTGACTGCAGCATCCTTGCATGGCTCGGGTGGGAAGGGAATAAAGTGACCTTGTGGCAATCTCTCCTTCACAGAAGTGCTCCAGGTTGACCCTGAGACCTTTGAGATTTCCAGCACCAGCATCCAACTGAAATGGACCTGCAGGTTCCCTGATGCCTGCCAGGGCATGAGGGCCATGTGCCGGCTGGCAATGCCTTCCTCCCCTCCCTGTGAGGCTGAGGAGGTGAATGGAGAGCAGATGTTACATGGCCAGGAGGGAACATTCACCTGCTCCCCTTTGCAGCCCTTCACTGAGTACAGTGTCACCATCGACTTGCCCCCCAACACAACCCTGTTCTCATGGTTGTTCACGACTCAGGAAACAGGTACGTGCACAGAAATATCAGAGACAAGGAGCAGTCCAGAGCTGTGTCACAGGTTTGATAGATGTTCCCCTCACCTCTCAGCTCAGCCTGATCATTTGCTCTGTGCAGGGGTGTCCCAGGGATCAGAGCTGCTTGGGTCCTGTGCAGCTCTGGGGAAGGGGCTGGGAGAGCCCTGAGCAGGGCACAGCCCGTTCTCATTGTCCCACTCCACACCACACTGTTGTGCTTCCCACTGCTGCAGCCTTTGCAGGGGACAAACCCTTTGTAGGGAGTCCCTTTGCAGCCTGTCCCTTGGCCAGGAGCTGCTGCAGCCTCCTCTGCCCTCAGCCACTGCTCATGGCCCTCCAACAGGCAGAGAAGTTCACCTGTTGCTGCTCATGGCCCTGTGTGTGACCCCATTGCCTGTGCTTGCAGTGCCGGACAAACCGGAGCAGCTGTGGCTGGATCCCGACAGGGGCTCTCTCAGGTGGAGCTCACTGCCCTCCTGCAATGGGGAGATCATCGGATACCAGGTACCAAGGGACCAGGGCAGACCCTCACCTCCCGGCCTGGAGCTCTGTGCAGGCACATTGGGAAGTGTGGGCATGGGATAGCTGGGATGAGCCGCAGTTCCCAGCCAGTAAATATCTGGCTTTGATGTGCACAAGCATTCTCTGTGTCATTCTCAACATTCTTCATGCTGTGGAGTGCCACACGAGAGCAGTGTGAGTGCTCCATGTCCTCTGGGCTTACTTCCTGGGTCTGCTCTGCTCTGGGTTTGGCAGGCTTTTGGAGGGTGGTGTGCAACACATGGTGACGCATATTCTGGGGTGTTGTCCCTGGGTTTCCTGTGCCTCTTGTGTACTTGTCTCTGGTTCCTGACACAGAAAAACTTGTGGTTTGAGTAATCCTCTGAAATTCCCTCCTGAAAGCCCCTTCTGCAGAGAGCTACACCATTCTGTTGAGTTCTCCTAGCATGGCTAGAAGCATCTCCTCTGTCTGTGAATTTGGGAGACATTCCACAGCAAAAACACTACTCTCCAGCAGTGGGTGTGGGTGTGTGTGATGGTGACATTGTTCTCAGAATGCTCTAGGTCCTCTCTGAGGACAGAGGTCTCCATGGTGTGACAGGGACCTTGCAAGCTGCTTCTTAGCTCTGTCCTGGAGAAAACTGTCAAGACAAACTCTTGACAACCTGTGAGTCTGTTCAGCTGGTTTCCTGCTCCCAGTGACCAGTATTTGTGAAAAGAATCCTTTTGGTCCACTTCAGTAGAACCGTTGCCTACACTTCTGCATAAGCCCAGAATATGCTTCTGTAAAGACAGCAAGTGAGAATGGACAGGGATCTCATGACAAATTCAGATGATGCATGGGCAAATGGGGACCCTTCAACTCTATTACTCATAGAAACTTTAGTTGTTCTCCTTTTCTCTTAGAGAAAGCCTTCAGAGTCCAGCTTTACACACGAGAAAATAGAAGTTTAGATTACTGTGGTGGAGGATGTCGCCACAGTGCCTCTGGGGTTGCAACACCTGGGGTGACCTGTCCTCAGGCTCAGTACAGATATCTACAGCCCCTCAAAAGAGCAGCCTCCCTCTTCCCTTCTCAGAGGCTCAGCCCTTTGCTCACAGAGGTTGCTGCTCACACATCCTCAGTGTTGGCTCCAAATTCCTCCTCTCCTCTCCTCCGTTTTGAGCTCCCCGCATGGAGCTGGGGCTCCTGCCCGTTGCTCTCCGCAGCCTTGCCCAGGCACAGGGGCAGGCACAGGGAAGGGCAGGCTGGCAGGGACGTTGCCTGCTGCGGGCACCTTCCCAGCGGGCAGCCGGGAGCTGCTGCGTTCCAGCTGCTGCGTTCCTGTCCGCAGCTGAGCATCACGGCCAGGAACGCAGGGGACAGCAGCGTGCTGGAGACCGAGCGGCTGCGGCTCAATGGCTCCGTCACTGAGCACCGGCTGCCGGAGCACAGCCCCGGCAGCAGCTACGCCGTGACGATCCAGGGACTGACGGCTGCTGGAGCCGGGGCTGCGCTCACGAGGGAGTTTCACACCAACAGCAGCTCCGGTGAGCTTTGCTGCGGGGCCGGGCACAGCCGAGCCGTGCTCGGCAGCCTGCGCTGCCCGAGGCCGGCCCTGCCGCTCGCCCGGCCCTGCCGTGCTCATTCCCCGGCCGTTCCCCTGCAGACACCCCGCGCTCCTCGGCCATCAGCTGCCGCAGCGTCCGCGACATCGCCCCATCGCAAGGGACGGCCGTGCTTCCCCTGCGCCCCATCGCCCGTGCCTCTGAGGCCGCCAGGTGAGCGCAGCCCCGCGGCTCGGCAGCCCCGCCGCGGCTCTCCCCGGGCCAGCGCTGGCCTGCAGACGCCTCCCTTCCCCTGGGCCCCGTGCCCTGTCCCAGCGCCTTTGGGCCCCGCAGGGAGCACCAGCTGATCGTGGCCGCGACGCACAACGCCTCGCTGATCGAGAGCATCTGCTCGGGCCAGCCGCGGCTCTCCAATGCCAGCGTGTACCTGGCCGCCCTTCTCAACCTCACCGCCCCCACGGACTTCGTGCTGGGCGACGGGAGCCGCGGGCCGGGCCAGCACAACGCTGCCCTCCGCCCGGGCCGGGCCTACACGGCCCTGCTGCGCCTCGTCCGCCTCGGGCCGCAGGTACCCATCGGGGGCTGCTGCTCTCTGCGGGTGCTGCCCGCCGGGGCCGGGCCCTCGCTGCCTCTGCGCTGGCTGCGAGGCCTCGCTCCTGTCCCATGCCTTGGCACCATGGTGTCCCTGGGATCCCGGGCCACAGCTCGGTGGCCCTGCTGGGCACCTTTGCCTCCAGCTAGGCTGGTGCTGCAGGAGTGGGCTGAGCTCTCCCTCCTGTCTCCTCCAACAGGCAGAGAAGTTCACCTGTGTCTGCTACAGCTTCTCTGTTGGTAAGTGTCTCCTTGCTCCTGGTGCCCAAGCCTCTCCTCTGCATGTTCCCTTTTGCCAGCCTGGCAGCTTCCCTGGAAACGAGCTGGCCCAGCACAAGAACTTCTGCGTCTCATTTGGAACAGAGCAAGATCCCCACACATTGGGTGATCCTCTCTCCCAGAAGAAACCTCAGCCAGGACAAAGGCGTACACACTTGCACAAACCCTTTGCCACTCTTGGGGCCATTGCCAGCAGGAGGCCAGGCTTTGGCACTCACCCCTGCCTCTGTTTGTTGCAGGGCAGACTGTGGGCCAGTGGCATTGGATTGTGATTGGACTGGTTGTGCTGATGGCAGACCATCTTCTGGTTGCAGTCATCCTGTGGCTTGTGCACTCCAGGTGAGTAGAGGGGGGACAGGGTCAGCAGGTACATTCACAATGCCAGCTTCTTACCCAGCACTGCCCTTTGCCTTTCCAGGAAAAGGAAGTACTTGCCCAACAAAACTAAGGAGGATAATTAAAAAGGTAGGAAAATGCAATTCTGCAGACAACCATCACAGAGGGGACTATGGGGTTGTGGAGCAGGTGGGATGAGAGCAGCAATCTCCCAGGAGATCTTGAGTTTCAGGAGAAGCAGCAGTTTGTACACTGCACTGATACGTGTCCTGATTTGCCTTGGCTGGGGAAGATCAGGATGGCTCTGCCCACCAAGCCCCATGTGGATGCAGAGCCTGGTCCCAGGCAGTGCTCCCTGCCTGGAGCAGGGACAGGGTGAGCTAAGACGAGCATCCCGAAGGCTCAGGTCTTAGAGTGACCCGTGTCTGTGCCATCCCTCCTGGGGATCTGCACGGAGGGGTCTCAGGAGGGTCAGGCTGAGGGGCTGCTGCTCTCACCTCAGCACTGACAGCACCTCTGGGGCTCTGTGGTTGGGATGGAAGGGTTGGGCTGTGGCAGGCACTGCCGTGTGCTCCAGCCTGTCTCTGGCACTGGCTGCCCCTTTTCTCCACAGGTAAAGGTGGCTAGGCTGGAGATCAGGCACTTCAGCCCCAGCCAGGACCATGGAGACATCCAGAGCAGTGAGGACATGGAGAAAATGGGAAGGATAACCCCAACCCAGTTCTGATGGCCACCATGTCCCCTGGCTCACCTGTGGCTGTTACCAGCACAGGGCTCCCATGAAATGCACGCAATTCAGCAGGGCAAGAGGAAAACAGAAGGCCCTGGAGTGCTGAGCTTTTTCATTCCTCAGCCCCTTCAGCTCCCAGGGTTTGCTTACTGCTTTTGTAAGGCCTTTGAATCTGGCTTTCTCTAATGCTTTCAGGCTTTGCTTTCATTTTTTGCTTTCCTGGAGGCAGGACTTGTATGCCAGATTTCCCAGTCCCAGACTCACACAGGCTCAGGTTGATGGCATTCTCCTGCTGTCCTCTGGGTTCCCAACCCCTCTGTTTATATTAAGCCAAACCCAGGGCTTGGCTTGGCCTGGCTGGACTGCTTTGTGACTCTGCCTGTTCTGTCTGGACAACAAATAAAGGCTTATGGATTGGAGGGGCTGCCTGTCCCACACAGCTTCTGCCTGCTCCCCTCATTGCCCCTGGGGGTGATATTCCCCTGCAGGGAGTGACTGTGGGGAAGCCACGGGCAGGGCTGCTGTGATCCTGTATTCCCCTGCTGGTGCCTGACTGTAGGAATGTGCCCCCTAATGACAGAGTGGCAAAACTAACCTTTGTCCCCCAAAAAAGGAAAGAAGCTCAGAAGCTTCTCTCAACTGTTAGGTGGAAAGCCACCTTATAGGGCTTCAGGGACGTCACCAAACACCAGAGAACATCTAATTGGATAGAAGCCAAAAAGTCTCGCCTGATCAATTAAGTAGAAAAGAACAGATCAACTGGACAGCTCTAATGTGAGTTTGGAGCAGATGTGTGGTGGGAATCCATCAAGGGTGATGGCCCTCCACAGACATTTTGGCCAAGAGTGTATTCTGTGCCCATGCTGTGGGATCTCTGGGCTTTCAGCTCCCTTGTTGCCCTGGGCCAGGTCAAACCTGGAAGAGAATTGAAGATCAGGGGTCACCACCACCATGGCCTTTATTGGTGAGACACAGGACAGAGATCAGTGGGGTCACTCCTGGCTCTGAAGTCTCCTGCCTTTGTGCAGCAAAGACAGAAGCTGTTTCTGTGGTGCTGCTTGGACCACATCCAGGATATTCACGTTGAGACACCGTAACCTGGGATTGCCATGGTGCAGCCACAAGCTGATGAGAGAGCCTCTATGGAGCTGGAAGGGCAGTGGCACTTGGAGCAGCACCAGGAAGATGCAGCCTCAGGAAGAGATTGTGTGGCATTTGAAGGACCAGTTTAGCCCTGCAGGATCATGGGTTGTCCCACTCGTGGCTCTTGTTGACTTTGGGCTTCATGCTTCTCCCAAAGTAGGACAGATATCCTGTGCTCCTCAGCACCATGGATCTTACAGCAGTTTGAGACTTCTCTGACCAAACGCAATGTGGCTGTTGGTGCTACCCCACTTTCCTTGGGGTACTTGAGGGGACAAGGGAACCTGGATGGGACAGCTGTGCTCTTCATCCTTGGCAAGGAAGGATGGGTGAAGTCCTGGTGCATCTGCTCTGGCCTGCATACTCAGGCTGTGATTCCAGATTAAGTTCCTGCACAAATGCTGGGCAGAGGGTCAGGTTCCAATTTCAACACCTGGCCAAAATTTGGAGACAGTCTAGCCTGTGTTCTCCAGCCATGGAGGACCCTTGGGGTGGTTTTTCAGGGGAGTGAAGCAGCTTGGGGCCATACACATCCCTTTTTTTTCCCTCTTGCTTCCACTGCTACTGATGAAGGGCTGTCCAGGGAGTCAACATCCCATCCAGAGACAGGCTGTGGTCATGCCCCTACTTGAAATTCCCATAGGTTTCAAATGAATTCAAATAACTGAGGGCTAGTTCATAGCAGAGCCCATACTGTTCCTGTGGATAAAAGGATGCACATGAGACTCTGGTGGACCAACAGCTGCAGTGGCATGTCAGCATTGGTCTCCAACAGCTTCCTGACACACAGCATGCCCGACACAGGTACAGTCCACCCTCCTCCTCCCAGCTGGAGTCCACCTTTCCCTGCTGAGGAATCCAGGCATGTGCTCCAGGAGCTGGAAGGATGGGCTACACCAGCACTGGAGCCAGCTGGCTTTGGCAGGAGAGCCAACATCCAGGACACAACGTGTTAATCAGGCAGGTGGACCAGAAAGGGGCCACTCATCATGCAGGATGCTTTGGTGCCCCTTCAGTTCTGCAGAACCTGCCACTGAGGGAGTGGGTATGTCCCAGCAGCAGAAAATGGGGTTTTCAAAGATCTCATCAGCACCTGGCCTCAGGATGATCTGAGCACAGAGGGGCTAGGGCAGCGACTGGGCAATGCCAGATATGGCTCTTGTTTTGGTGTTACCATCCCAGCGGGGTGTGAAGTCAGTACCTACCACATTTTTAATGAACTGTCTCCGCCTCCTCTTCAGCATCCTCACAGCCTGGGACACATCCACCATGCCCTCACTTTGGATCTGCTCACACAGGAAACTAGCAGCACAGAAGATCCCACTGCGGCTGGCTCCATCCCTGTGGAAGAGGGCAAGGGGAATTTCATTTGCTCTGCGATGGCAGGTGGCAGGGCGGAGCCTCAGAGGTGTTCCTGTACACCCCCACACTCTCAGGATGACCTTGGCCACAGATCCCACACCCAACCAGCATCTACAGGGAAGCCCACCTCTCTCAGCATAGCTGAATTCATATCCACACATCCCTCCGAGATGGAACTGTCACCAATGTCACTGACACAGCCTGAGCTGTGTCCTGCTCTGTGCCATGGCTGCTCCTCCAGGAGACCTCACTCACCAGCAGGTGACAAGGATGTGTCCATCCTGGCTCTGCCGATGGTGTGTCTCCACCTTCCCTAGCAGGCTGATGATGGTGTCAGGGTGTGGGGGAAGGTGCTGCTGCATGGGCCAGTCTGTCAGTTGATGTAACCGGATTTCTACTGCAGACTTCTTGGGCTAGTGGGGAAGAAATACAGTGGGCTGGGCTGAGCAGAGACCTATTGGCTTCATGCAGAGAAGGATAGGGACAGTGCATGCCAGCCCTGGCTCAGCCATGCACACTGGATCAAGGGAGCAGCTCCACAGTGGGACATGCCACTCCAGACTTTCCTCTTCTCCAACAAGTTGCTCTGAGGCCAACAGATAGAGCATAAGAGAAGAGCTGAGCACCAGCTGCAGCTCAGACTGACACCAGTCTGTGTCCAGCTGCCTGCAGTGGTTCGCCTTCCATGAACCACTGAGATGCACAAACTCCATCCAGAGCTGCTGTCCTCCAATTGGAAAGGCACACAAAAACCACTCAGAGAACCTCTGAGTTCCACCTCGGCCCGCAGCCTCACTTTCTTGGGATTAACCTCTCTGCCAAGGCAAAAGACTCTGCTCTGACCACTGTCCTGCCAGGACCCCACCAGATCCCTCTGCCATCTCCAGCTGTGACTTTGACCCCAAATTAAAGCCTCTTGACAGCTGCTCCTCCCAGCTCTTGCAAAGATCCTTCTCAAAGGAGTTTGCCAGCTCTGAGCAAAGGGCCCACCTGCTGCCTGTTGCTGAGGACAAGTGTCCAGGTTGTGAAGCCAGCCCCAGGCTCCTCTGAGATCAGCTGGACATGGAAGCGGCCATAGTCATCTTCGCCCTGGGTGGGCCAGAACTGCACGTATGTCTGGGGGAGGGCGAGAGGTGCATGGTCACACATGGCCCCCGCCTGCACGCAGGGCAGAGCTCAGCCCCTCACATGGGTGGGCTCACACCAGCCCCTCGCCCATAAGCCACATGCACGTGGCTCTGCCAGGCACTGCTGGGCACCAACCCAGTGCTGCAGCCAGAGAGTAACATTCCATCAGAGAGGACACCTGGGCAGGGGACAACAAAACCTGAGGGAAGCTCACTTGCAGTGAGACCGAGGACAGCCCCCAGCTGTGGAGCTGTGGTGCTGGGCCTGTCCTCAGGGCTCTCCCAGGTGGAGCCCCACAAGCTTGCAGTAGGTCCTGGTGCAAGCAGGGCTCTCGTGGTAGGATCAATGCAGGGCCAAAGGCAGCAATCACACTGCTCGGCTCCACAGGGAACCAGGAGAGGGGAGAGCTGCCAGAGCTTGGGCTGCTGACCTTGTCCAGCTCCTGGAGTTGATTCAGCACAACTACCGATGTGCAAGTGTAATCCCAGACCAGAGCCCAGAAATCCACCAGCGTGGTGGGGAAAGGCAGCTGCGTGATGATGATTCTCTCCTCCTCGGTGTACGTCTGCAAAAGACACCACGATGTGCATGTGGGGGGAAGAGTCCCACAATCCCCGGGAGCCCTTCCCACAGCGGGAACGGCTCCCTGCCGTCCTGCTGAGATGGAGCAGACCCAGGCCAGCCCAGCCCTGCTCAGAGCAGCTCCTGTTTGCGCCCCGCTGCCCTCTCAGCTCATCGCACCGGGGCTTGGCTCCCAGCAGGCTGTGGCTGGCACACGCTGCTGCGCTGCCTGCGCAGCCAGGGCTCCGCCGATCGCGGGGGCCATCTCCTGGCAGCAGGGCCAGCAGGCACCGTGCAGGAGCCCGAGGCCGGGGACACCTCCCCCGGGCGGGCTGCTCTGCCCTGGCCTGCAGCTGGGCTGCGCAGGAGGCTCCCGGCTGCCCCGAACAGCTCCCGCTCCGGCGGAGCCTTACGCTGGCAAACACGGCGTTGATGTAAGCTGGCGAGCCGTCTGCGTTCACCGAGGACATCAGGATGGGCCGGCAGGAATCCGCTGCGGAGGCAAGGAGCAGAGAGGGGGAAATGATGGGTCGTCCTCTCCCTACAGAGAGGCAGGGGGCTTTCCCTGCAACAGGTACAGTCAGCACAGCTCCCTGCAGCATGGCTTGGAGAGGATTGAACGGACAGGCACCACCACACCCCCGGCTGTGACAGCTCAGGGCACCCTGATGAGGGTTGCCCAAAACCCTGTGGTTGGGGGCACAGCAGATGCACCCTCCTCAATGCTCCCTGATGTGCTTCATCTGAGCTTCTCCACTGGAAAGCTTTAGACCAGGGACATGCTTATCCCAGGTGTACTTCATGTACCTCCAACAGGCTCAGAAGGAATCAGCCTAACCTGAATTTATTATGTAGTAACCATAAAACAACATCTGGACCCTGCGCCCAACCTGCCAGTGTCAGGTGCCAGGGAGGGAAGCAGCAGGAAAGCATCATTCCCCCCATGCTGCCAGCAGGCTCTGGGTTTAGAGCAAGAGGCTGCCCAGCCCTGCCAGTGTTACCTGGCAAGATCCCTGGCTTGCGGTTCTTGGGTTGGTTTCTGGGTTTCTCTGCTTCTCTGCATGGCAGGAGCTGGAACAACTCCGAAAATCTCTGCAGAGCCTGTAGAGAGGATTCACCCATGTCGGTCCGGCCTGTCAGCAACTCACCTTCTGGGGCCACTGCAGAGAATGATCCCCCATCTCCATCCCACTGCTGGGGAGGGGAGCAGGGACGGGGCTGGCATCACAGATGAGCCCTCACAGCACCAGTGCACCGTCTCCTGGTGGTACCTTAAACTCCTTCTCTAGGACACTGTTGTGGCCTGAGGCCTCATCTTCTCGAAGGGAGCGGACCAGGCTGGCCATGCTCTCCACGGGGACCCCGGTGCTGCCGCAGAGCAAGCCTTCGAGAAGCGCCTCGTACAGGAAGCTGTACTGCTCCTGTGGGAGGACACGGGTCAGCTGCACAGTCTGGAGCCAGTCCAGGAGGAACCCTGCAGCTCCAGATCACCAGCTGTCCTCAAACTGTGCCAGAAGTGAGCCAGGTTCATCCTTCACCTTCCTGCTGCGGATCCCTGAGGCCAGACACTTCTCATTGCAGGCAGCCCTGCTTTGAGACACAGCCAGCAACTCCAGCAACCCAGACAAGATCATCTTCCTGAGGTTTAGTGCTGCCTCTCAGACCGGAGCCCTGCTCTGGGAAGGCAGCCTGGAAAACCTGTGCACTAATGAGACCTGGTACAAGAGGCTGGTAGGTCCAGCCCAAATTGCTTTTCTCTGAAGGAGCCCAGCACTAAGCAGATCATGGGGACACAGTCCCTAGGCCAGGACACTGCTGCCCAGGAGCTGCCAGGAGGGCAGACGTCCTGAAAGCCGGAGGGACAGGTGGACTCTCGTTCATTATCCTTGCCTACAAGACAGCCCTTCTGTGTCAGGGTGACCAATACATACAAATGCTGCTGATATACCTCAGAGAGTCTCAGGAAAATGCAGATTCCAGCTAGGTTTGGACACAGCATTGAAAAAAATCCTTCCATTTCCATCACCTACTAGCCCTAGTCCCTGTGGCTAGATCAGGAACAGCATGGCTAATGTGGCTTTGCAAACCACATCCCTGGGAAGGGTGGTGTTGACAGCAAAAGGTTAAAAGCAGAAGAATGGCTTTTCATTCAGAAGGAGTATGGTGGATTGTCTCAAGTGACCTTACAGCTGGGAATACCATGGTCTGGAAAATGACAGTTGGAGAAATCCTATATATTGTGTATAAACAGCCTACTGCTGTTATCCTCTGGCTGCCTTGGGGAGCAGAATCCATGTAGAGGGAATGTTGGTGTTCACAGAGACCTGGAGGCCATTGTCATGAACATGGCTGAGCTCCCTGTTTTAGGAGGGATCAAAGACCAGAGATCACAAAGACACAGAGGAGATCACAGCCCAGCTGGAAAACTACACATGTACAGGCCTTTGTTAAATGGGTGAAATGAGCAGCCCCTCTGTTCCCCAGGACAGATTGATCCTGATGGTGCTGGTGTTCCCACTTATGTGTTGCCTCCTGGCATCCTCCAGCTAGCGAGGTAATGAAAAAAATTTACTCTTGGCATTTCAGCCAGGGTTTTGTGGTTGTTCTGGCCACCTGCCTGTGTCGACTCCCACAGGTGGGCATTGGATCTGCAGCCCAGAGGTGTGGAGAGAGCAAATTCCTCACCTTGGTCTGCACCATGCTGACCCGCTGCTCCCGCAGCTGCTGCACGCAGTGAAACACATCCACCTTGCCCTCAGCCTTCCCCATCTTCAGGAGGAAGTCCAGGGCGATGAAGGTACCCGTGCGCCCGATGCCTGCGCTGGGGACACAGCAATCCGCGGGTCAGGGCTGCCCCTGCAGGCTGTGCCCCCGCAGCCGAACGCCCCCAGCGCGGTACCTGCAGTGCACCAACACGGGTCCAGCAGGTGCTTCCAGCACCCTCTTGTTCACCACCTCCACCAAGCACAGCAGCTGCGACGGGTTTCTGGGCACCCCGTGGTCCGGCCACAGCAGGTAGTGAAACTGCTCCACTGCTCTTGGGAGAGCACAGCCCGCCTGCAAAAAGGGAGACATGGCTGGCAACGGGGAGCTGGAAGCGATCAGGAAACTTGTGGGAAGAGATTGCATGGCAGCAAGGAGGCAGCAGTGGAGAAAACCGCTTGAGAGGGGCACCAGCACAGAGTGCTGCCTCCAGCACCACACCAGAAGGACTGCTCCACTATAGCGCCTCAGACAGTAAAGGGCAGATTCACCCATCACACAGCCACACAGATTCATTTTCTGCTTCATCAATTCATCTCTGAAACTTCACAATTCTTCTCTGCTTCACCGTGAGCAGTGAATGTGAAGCAGGAAAAGCAGCTTCTGCCCCAGAGGGAAATGATACAAATCAGAGCTTAGTCATCAAAAAGCCCTGGCTTTCCCAGAAAAGATATACCCTAAGGCTGTTACTACACTGATGTGAATGTAGGCACTTGTTACCAGCCCATTGTGCTTTTCCCTAAACATCACATTCACTTGGCATGAACTAATGCTACATCTTACCATAAGGTGCTCTTGGAGCTTTACGTTTCAGCTACATGTTGCTCTGGGCAAGACAAGAAAGCACAGGAATATGCATCACTGCAATTTCTTTCTATTGTACCTGTTTTCCCTCCTTGCAACTCCTTCAGTTTCTGCCCTTTATCTGAGGTGTAACTTCAGCAGGAGCATACTTCTTGGGAAATCACCTTATGTAGCTTCTCTCAAACCATAAACTACGTGCCCAGGTTTAGGGCTGTAAGTGACCAAGGAGCTTCAGTCCGGATTTCTGCAGATTGATTCAGGTGACAGGCAGGCACCTGTCCCATCATCCTGGATGGGCAGAGATTCCATTCTATACCCTTGATCTGCTTTTATACCCTTTGCAATCACATCAGCCAAGCCCTCAAGAATCTACAATATTCCCATGTGCAATGTCAGTCCAGACTCCTCTGGGGTGACCACTGGACTGACTGACTGCGTTTGCCTGGCACAGAAACCTGGGACTGATGGCCTGGCATGGATTCCATTTATAGCAACCTACTAACATTGCTCTTTTTGTGCTGGTGGCCGGGCTCTCCACAGGGTCCATGTCTGACAGCTCCCACCAGCTGCTGGAACCCAAACACATCCTGCATTTCTGCCTCAGCCCCACGCCGGACTTACCTTCTGCAGGCAGAAGATGCGTTTGACAAGGCCTGTGGTGGTCCAGGTGTTGTTGAGTGTCACGGTGAAGTCACCGTAGACCTGCTCCTGCTCTGGCCAATACTGCTCACACTTGATCTGTCAACAGCAGTGAGATCTCTGGACACAGGAAAACTCACAAAGAGAGCATTACAGGGGTGCAGTGCTGCTCCCTGCCCCCACGGACAGCTGCACTGGGAGTACAGCAGGTGTGGAAACCTGGGCTCTGGCAATGCCCAAGCTGAGAATGGGCTGAGGAATTTTCTCTACCTTGTTCTGCTCCACTAAGCCCGTCAGCATCACAATGACTGAGGTCTTCTCCTGCCAGATCATGTGCCAGAAATCCACCACTGTCCCAGCCAAGGGGCCTTAGGAAGGAAGAGGAGACCCCTATGCAAGTGTCGAAGCCATGGGCATAGTTTTGGACATTCCCGGGCTTTCCTCTGCCTAGACACAGAGGCACAGCCAGGGGACATCAGCACCTGAAGGGGGTGCTGGCCACATCAGCTTTGTTACCATGTTAGAAAGTAGGACAAGGAGTAGGGAGGGAAAATGAGCCCATGTCAGGGATTCACTGCTGCTTTAGGGACTCCAGCATGCAGACCCTTGAGATGACTGTCAGTTCCCACATTTGGGGCCCTATTTTCCAAAGAGCATTTCTGCAGCTCTGCAGGAAGCCAAGACCTCCTCGCTGCATGCTGCACAGAGCAGACAAACCCATCCAGGCTTTGGGGAAGACTGTATCCGAGTGCACCTGCACCTGCAGACGTGCCAGGCATTTGCTGGATTGTCCCTGTCATACCAGCTGCCAAAGGGAACAAACTAGGCTTGTGAGTGGAAGGACTGTGTCCTCATACTGGGCAGTGCAGACACCAGTTCCAGCTGCAGCCAAGCTACCACCGAGACCTTCCATGCCCTGTAGCATCTGTAACAACTGTTCAGAAAGAACTGAACAACGCCAGAGATCCTGGAGATACAGGGACTTGGAGTGAGCCATTCACAGCTTTCTGACTGCTATCCCAGTTCCCCATTTCCCAGATTGCTCAGGGTAGTGAATAGCATCTCCTGAGGAGGAAGTTTGGGAGCACCTACCTTGAGCTGCAATGAAGAAGCGTGGACTTCGGTAGGTCTGCAGGGGAGAGATTCAAACAGCTCTGATCAGATGAGTTAAATGTTCAACAGGGAATGAAATAAAGGATCCATCCCCCAAGTACCAAAGCCCAGAACTCTCAGCACACTGTGTCCCACAGAACCTCTCCTGGCCAGCACAGACAGTGGGTACCCCGGGGCTGCATCTCAGTTCCTGTCCCTTCACATGGGTCCCTTTTTGTTAGAAGTGAGAAGTGCACACAAACCCAGAGTACTCCAGGCAGCTCAGAGAGGATTCCGAGGAAGCAACCTCCCAAAACCTGCCAGCTTAAGGGCAAAAAGTGCCAGACCTCAGGGCCCCCCGTGTGAACAGGACTGTCCTCCTGCCAGGCACCTTTCCTACCCTTCGCAGGGTTACAATTCCTCACTACCTACATCCACATAGCTGGCATTGATGTAGCCATTCCCGGTGTCAGAGTGCTGCAGCACCACACGGCAGTGATCATCTGAAAGACAAGGGACATGGGCTGATGCTTTAGGGCAGCAACAAAGAGACTGATTAAGGGGGAAGGCGTAATTTATTAAAGTCTATGATTGTCTGTTGCCTCCCCAGCAGCACCCGAGGCCTCAGGACATGTTCAGGGTAAAAGAACAGCTGATGAGACAAAGGGTGACATGGCACAGCAGGAAATGCAATGGAGTTTTAAGGAAGATTATGAAATGGCCAAATGTACACACCATGTGAGGCCCAGAGGAGCTTTAAAGTTTGGAAGAAATTGGGTCACTCCTTCCACTTTCCTACAAATACCTGCCTCTGGATGGGAAATGGTAGTGTTCAGCAATGACTAGCATCAAGAACAGGAATATGATGTTTGATTAAGTTTGCAGGAAGATTTGAAGAGCCGAACAAGGATGCTCCAACAGGATATAAAAGAGTGAGGCCAGAAATTTCTCTGGGTTTCAGTGGCCATGGAGGATGAGATGAGTAACTCAGTATTTCTGAAGTGCTGGAGGGGCACCTACACCAGCCCAGCATCCTGTGCTACCCCAGCTAGCTCCAAGAGCCTGAGCCAGTCCCTGGAGAGCTCTGCTTACATGGGATGATGCTCTTGTAGCGGTTCTTGTTTTGATTACAGAGCTCCTTGCCAGCATTGCAGGGGTGCAACAAAGTGGAGGACAATTGCTGCAGAGGAAGAAAACAAGTATTGTTATCCCACTCAACATTGGGATATACTCTGGGGCTGGCCAAGGCCAACTGCATCACATATCCAGGGAAGGGCTGAGGAGTGGGCTGTGCAGTCAGGTGGAAAAGCAAAGCTAAACCAGACCTGGTATTCTCTAAGAAGCCCAGCACCATGCCTGTTGACTGATTCATCATCTGTCTGTTCTGCCTCTATTTCTTCCCTCTTAAACATCTTCAGAGCCTCCAGCAATTCCTCCACCAGGATCTGTGTGTTTGGCTTGCCTACATCTGCAGAGACCACAAGGACAGGACTTCAGCATCCAGCTGGTGCTAAACTGGCCAGTCCTGGAACTCTGCAGCTGGGACTGAGATGGCATTGCAGTGGCCAGAACTTCTCCAAACCTTAGACTGTCCCTCCCCACACAAGTCCCTTCTCCTGGGAGGAGTCCCTTGCCCTATGCCAGCCAGCTTTGATCATCCTTGTTCCGGCAAGCAACTTGTGGAACCTGCAATCATCCTGCCTGTGCTTTTAACAGACAGTCAGTCCACACAAGGCACAAGGCTCATACTTCACCTTTTTGACATCCTCTCAGGGGTATAGTGCTGCTGTTCTCTGAGCCTTTGGAACTGTTGCGCTTTAGCCTGCAAAACAACAAGTCAAGTGCACAGGCCAGCAGAAGAGAGAGACAGAGGAGAAGCTGTTGCCCATCTAACCACCCTACCTCATCTCAGGCTCCACTTGGACACTCCCTGCCACTGCAAGCTGATGAATGCCTCACAGAGGGCAGGAGAGGTGAGGCACATACTGACCTGAAGACCACAAAAAGCAGCAAAATCCCCAGTGCCAGGAATGCAACAGTCAGTGCTACTGCCATAACCACCGGCTTGCTGTCCAGCAGAGATGATGGCTCTTGCCCTGCAAGCAGCACAGCCCAGGCTCAGGCTCCTGCACAGCCTGAATCAAGCATCGGGACATCCCACAGGCACATGGAGAGAAAAGCAACTTCCCTTGTCTTCCACCCCTGGCTTTGCATTAGAGAAAAGCTGAGCTGGGGCATAAGAAGCAGGTGCTAGTTTGGTGTGATACCCTCCATTGCGGAGCGTGTGTCCCTGAAGGCCCCAGACACTGCCAAGTGAGGTACCTGCATTGAGGGGTTGCAAATACACCAGGGGATTACTGGACTAGGGACTAGGACTAAATATGTGGTGATGGCAGGGATGATGTGCAATCTCCAGTGGCCACTGGGCCCCAACCTACCCAAGAGTCCTAAAACTGTCCAAAGCCCATCTACCATAGATAGTCTCAAAATATAGAGAACTTTTATGAAGACCAAAGTATGGCAATGCTCCACTAGATCTGCCCTGGGCCAGCTCGTTTCCAGTGAATCTGCCAGGCTGGCAAAAGGGAACATGC